GCTGTCAGTCTCTGGAAATGGTGGACAAAGAGAAAATTTGTGATATTTTCAGCCAAGTAGACGTACTGACATGGGGCTAGATCTGTGCATGAGCTAGTTAATGCTAAGTCATGGAAGACAAAACAACCCATGCAAATTTTTGCTATTTTTCCATGTCACATACAGAAAGAAGGACTATAGATTCAGGGAGAAAAAGGTTTTGAAAACACCTTAAGGAGGCTTCTCCAACACAAGCACAAGGATTACATGGGTCTATTCTATGTAGACTAATGTCAGGGGAACAATAAATATTAGCAAATGAAGTAGATGATGTGTCTTGACTTATTTACTTTAGGAAAAAATACTGGAAAATTTATATCTTAGACTGACAGTGTATTATCACAGCCTCTAAATTACCTTGTGCTCTGTGATTTGAGGAATGCTGGCAAATCTCTGTAATTTAAATGTTTTATTCCAATTTTGACATGATTTTTATGCCAGAGAGCTTTCTGGGTAAGAAGACTTTTAAAACAATTTCTCTCTCGAACTCTGGTTTTTGCTTTTGGAATACATCATCTCATTAATTAAGAGGTTGGAGTCTCATTACTTCATGTCAGTCTTCACTGGATTATGTAAACAGCAACCCTGTCATTACCAATTCATAAGCTATTTTTATTTTTCTAAAGATTTAGAGCTCACAGCCATCATTTTAAATGGAACATTACAAAAAAGAGAAAGCAATTTGGAGCATCCCATTCTTAGCTATGTATTGAATAAATCTATTGTGCTATTAGTATCTGTTTTAATTTACTTTTTCTTGATTTTAGTCATAGTTCAGTAATGTTCAAGAGAAAGTATTATATGATAGCTAATATCATATAGAAGACCTGTTTCTTACATTGCCAAATTTATCAGCAAAGAAAAACACTTTCCTTAGAAGCATATTATGAATTCAAATAACATAGGTTATTTTTGATAGGCACGTAACTTCTAGCTTCTGATCGTTAGCTTTAGTAAGCATTAGCTTAGTATGAAAAATAAAATGTAATAGTGAAAATATGAGCAAGTAAAATATTAGTAACTAGCAAATCAAAACCACACATTCTTCTGAATCAAGGACTGCCACTTCCAATAGATTCAAGTAACTGTAGTATTCATATAGCAGTTTAATAAGTTTTATGGATGAAGAGTGAATCCCATGTTCAGTATAAGATGATAAGGAACTTAGTTTCAAATCAATTGCAGTTTCTTGTGTGAATTTCAAAAGTTTCCTCCTCCTCCTCCTCCCCCTCCTCCTCCTTCTTCTCCTTCTTCTTTTTCTCCTCCTCCTCCTTCATCTTTTTCTCCTCCTCCTCCTCCTCCATCTTTTTCTCCTCCTCCTCCTCCTTCTCCTCTTCCTCCTCCTC